TTTTTTTTTTTTTTTTTGGGAAGATAGAGATCAAAAGAACAATTAGAATGTGCTATATTTACAATTTTTATACCAGTTTCAAATAAATTAGTTTATCTTTTAAATTTTTTTCTTAGTTATATTTATTTAATATTACCTTATATCTGCATCAATTATTGGATTCTTGGTTATTTATGATTTAAAATTGTAACTTTTTAATATAAGCGGATGAATTACTTTTATGATTTTGCTTATTTTTTATTTGTTATTTTGTATTTTTATTTTGCTTATATATTTATAAATAATAAAACCAAAGTATAATCCTTCAATATAACGAACATCTACCACTCCAATCCCCCCTCCCCACGAATGTACCGACTTTAAGTGGCAGACTTGCATGCTTCGGAATCCTATGTGTCAAAATTCCATGTTTTATTATTTGGTTTGGTTAAATTTTAATTTAATTTCAATCTCAAAAAAAATTAGTTTCGGATTACTATAAATATGTTGATTTATTTATGATTATTTTAGATGTATATATTGCATTTTTATATCATTTCCTATTATAATTATTGAATTGTAAATGTATTTTAAAAGTTGATAATTTTTGTATTTCTTATCGGTTTTACATATATAATATATCAAATTAATCATGTTTTAATGAACTTCGATTTGACATTCATATTGTGTATATAAAATAAATAATTTATATTTATATTTATAATAATAATAAAATAATTTCTTAAAATTAATTAGAAAAAAAAATTATTTCTCAATTAATATATTTATGTTTAACGTAGTTATATGTTATAAGTTAAAAAAATTATTATAATATAACACAGTTAAATCGCACAAGTAACAAGTGTCATACTAAAATATATAATGATATATATTTTTTAAAATAAATATTTAAATTTTCAACTACTTTTTCTCATTAATTTTAAATTTTACGAAAAAAAAATTTCTCATTAATTTTAAATTTTACGATAAAATTTTAGCAAACACCCTTGTATTACCCAAGGCACTTTGCAGTTTTTCACCTAATTATGTAACTACACCAGCACAGTGACATAATTAGAAAGGAAAAGAAAGTCAAATAAAAAGCCTAACCAAAGAAAACAATATCCTCCTGCTCTGCTCTGTTTAACAGACACAATCTTTCTATATATGATAAACACAGTCGTCAATCTTGTACACTTCAAACCAAAATCTAAAAGAAAATG